GTAAATAATTGTTCTGAATTAAATTAATATTAAATGATGGAAACATTGATTATTTATATATTTTTTTAATAGACGATTTCATTTACAGTATTGAATACAAAGGAAACTTATTTGAAGACCATCCATTCTCAAATATGACAAGATCTATTAAAGAAAAAACAGAATTTGATCACAGTCGTTTACTGAAAATTTTATATTTTGCTTCTAATTTTCATAGAGCTTGTGAAGTCAAAAATGAAATAGAACCATGAGGAAAAGAAATAATTTAGTATTAAGAAGAAAATGATAAAAATTGAAGGTTAGAAGGATGAAAAAGTTGTGAATGTAAGAAATATAGAATGACCTGGTTTAATATATGAACTGGGTATAAGTGTAAGAAGTGATATAGAAACACCCTGTAGATGCTATTCCATTATTCCATTAAAAATCTTTAAGGCGAGTTTAAATCTACAAAATGAATATTTTTTTTTATATTTTAACAATAAAAATTTGGATTATCTTCTTGTTCCTCCTGCCGCAACTGCTCTCCTGCTACTACTTGTTTCTCAGTCTGTCTTTTTTTATCTGCTCTCTGCTTTTCTCCTCAGCTTATCAACCTCCGATTCCTCAGTTCTACACATATCTCCTTCCTGCTACCCAATGCACCCTCAGCTTTAATTTAAATAAAATTTTATTTTTCATATTATTTTCTTTTTCTACTTCATTATTTCTATTCTTTTTTTTTCTTTTGTTTCTTCATTTTAATTCCTTCCTATTTAATTACAATAATCCTTTCTTACTACAGTAATCAATTCCGTTTCTTTTCATCTATAACTGTATTGTCTAAATTTTGATTATCAATATCTCCTTGTTCTTCTTTTCCTAACATTTAAGTTATGTTCATCATAATTTAAAAAATATATGACGTTAATAAACTTGTTAAATAGTAGAACTTTGACCAAGAAAAAAAAAGAAAGAATTGAATTAAAACTATAAATGTTGAAACATTTAATAACAGTATTCAATTTTTCCAATGGTCAAAAATTATTTTAACTGAATATAATTTTACTAAAATATAAGGTCGCTACAGCTGAAACTTTCTGAAATTCAGTTTATTCGATGCTTTTAAATATTTTCTTCTATCTCACGCATCTGTAAAATAAGCTTATTACCCAAATTGAAAAACCTATTTTTTTAATATTTCGTAACCTTTAAATGTCACCATATAAGAACTGATATACCAACTAAACGTAATTTACTCATAAAAGTATTGTTAAAACTAAGAATAGATAGGGAAATTGGTTTTATTACATATTGCATATTTTTTTAGCATCCGCTATTATGGAAAAATATAGTAATTATCCCGTAATTAAGCAAAACATGCCGCACAATGTACATTAAATTGAAGGTGAACGTACTTTGTCTTAATCATTGCCTCACAATTTTATTGTTTGTCCCGAAACGCAAAAATGTGAGATAATTGGATGTTTTTCTATTAAAAATAATATACTTGTTTTCAAGAACAAGACATTTAATGATAACTACTGAAAGATTTTCATTAATTTACCTTGTATACAGAGTTCAAGCAATAGACTCTTTATTTATTTGTATATTTACGAGCAAGTCCATTAACGTACCAAAAAATTTTTAAAATGTTTATAAATTATTATACTTAAGTCCATCTACAGATAAATAAAATATTATAGGATTATCTAGATTTTGCCAATCTAACAATTAAAGGAATACAAATATGTTAAAATAACAATCAAGTAAAAAGGAATAAAAATAACAAAACAAAAAATATCGATAGACTTTAAAGACAACCATAACTTCCATTATCTATATTAAAAAGTAATATTCTAATTTCCAGAGAAGGCAACTTTAAAGACCATTGTTATATAATCTAAGAAAATTTTTAATTTATAGAGTGTTACATGAGATGAGTACTAAATATTAAATTTTTTTGTTTACAAGAAAAGTAGTGATTGAACAAATATTTCCTATCAGAAAAAGGACTTCAATATATAAGGCATGCGATAAATTGTATTTATTTATGAAATGAAATAGTTGTTTTGTTATTTTTTATTTTTATTATGTAGATTCAATGGCAGAAAAATCAAGGTAGCAAAATCTATCACGTTTTTTCCATTATAATTAATGATAACATTACTACTACTGCTTTGGTAACGGTCTGTACTAACATAACGTAAGAAATGTTTTTAGGTAGATACACAAAAACGGCTAGCTTGTAGCGGTATCGTTGATTGAAATAACTTACAAAGTAGCAATTCATCCGACAGCATTATCGCCACACTTATGGTAATGAGATGTAGTAAAAGAGATAGTAATATTAAATCATTTCGATCATTAGCGTAAACTAATGCCATATGGTCTAGTTTAATCTAGCTATTCCATAAACTTATTTCTTTTTCTTTGAGTAATTTTAGTACTACCAAGCACTGCTCATTTCCTAGGTTATTAAATGCCTTCTGTGGTTTTACTAATCGGTTCTTATAGTGTTTGCGGTATCAAAACGTTCATAGTTATTTTTGTAGCACCATCTAAAGATTTGTTAAGTGATGCTTAACTTTAAATACTTTCCACTATAGTTTTACTGACTTTTAGACGGTAACTAACGTCAAAATTAATTAATTTTTGATGGGTACATTTTTATTTTGCTAAATATGCGACTACAGCATCGATTTTATTAATAACTTTAAGTATTTAAAGCACAAATTCTCTTTGTTTGACCATGCACTTTTTCACCTAAATTAGATAGGTGTCAACATTTATTGAAAAATAAATAAAATTACATTTTAAATTTAATTGAAAATAAAAATTTTTGTTTTTAGAATGTTAACACCCTGTATCTCAGAAACATAGGTCAGAGTTCCTGTATATAATTTTATTTAACGAACCTTTCAGCTGTAGACCGTTGTTATATATCTATATATTTTTGGCAGGTTTCTGTTGTGATCTACTATTGGTATCTCCGGGAGTATTTACAATAAAACGTGTGTTTTTTTTTTAATTCGATATCATCGGCATCAACTACTATGGTTATTAGCCTCGTGTTCTGTGTAGGCTTTGTTACTGTTTTCCAGCGCCACTTTAGGTGCAGTACTGTTATTTAAAACCCAACAGTGAATGGTCAAGTGAGGAATCCAACCTATGCATTAGAATTAATATTTAATTTATTAAATTAAATAAAAATCCCTGCCACCAACGCAATTTGTCTATAGTACTCTATAGGTTATTAAATTAAAGTAAATACTAAAAATTAATGTATGACTTTTGCTAGATTTATTTATATAAACAGAACTAAACAGGATTAAAGCTTTATTGATATAAACATTTTCAATTGATTTTAGTTTCACTATACCTATTGAATTACTGATATATTGAAAGTTTTAATATTGTAAGTGAAATAAAACAAACAAAATGAATTAAAATAAAAAATATATCTATACTGCCACAACTATTCTAAAACATGACCATTAAAAATGTAATGTAATTTTATGGTTTCAACACCTTGTCTTAAAAATGTCTAACGTTTACCTTAAAAGACGAATTCTCTTGATGTAATACCAGTGAATATGGATGAAGTACATGGCACAAGGTATCCATGTTTTAGAAGTAATTTCTACATTAGGAGTCATTATATTTATCATTTTATACATGTGTATGGTATATATTTTTAAGTACCTAGATTGTGAGAGTAAGTATTTATAAAAAACTTAATAATTTTACATTTTTATTGTTATAAGAAAGTTAATAACTAGGGTATATCAACGAAAGCACCAGTTTTCAATTTTCCGCCATTTTCTTTGTGGAATTAGTATGGTTATTATTTGTTGACACCTATTATGTACAGACCACGCGATTAAATATTTCAAGAAGTATTCAAGAAAGCAAAGTTTAATTATTGTGAAAACGCACTACAAAAATGTCATCCTTTGGTTTGGCGATCAAAATTGACCACCAAGATCGTACGATATATTTAAAAGTACCAGAAGTTTCGCGGTGTCCATTTGCCCGATATCCTATTTCATGTTTAATCGCAACTTTTCCTCTTCACGTTAAAATACATATACTTAATTCGAAAAAATAAGGGATTTATTGAAAATTTCATCTGCCGACACATATTTTTTTTCTTTCAATAATAGTGAATGGTATTGTCGAAAAATCGTATATGTACCTCATGAAATATTATGTAATATAATAGATATAGATAAAAACCCTTTTCCACACTTGCGGTGACCCTGGAGCAAGATATATGGTCGCCGTCTTCATTTATCACGATATAAATACGCTGTTGTTAAGAATCTCGACGAAAATGGTAAAAAAGCAATAAATATGCATTTAGGTCAGATTCCACGCCAAATTTGATATAGTGGTTTGTCATCGTTCAGGGCTACATCTATTTATTTAAACAACACTGTTACGGAACACGGTTTTGAGATAAATTACAAAAAAAATGAAAAATTTACATAATAATTAGGTATCAATGCCATAAAGTTATTTGTTGCTAGAATTCACATATGTTCATTCATTTATGCGGGTTGTTCTTTATAATTCCAAACCATTTAAGGATGAGCCGATCCTTGAAAGATGGCATCAGACATATAGGAATATTAGAATATGATTTCCATATTAATACATATCTATATTATAATAAAAAAGACAAAAGGATTAGATTTTATTACTATTGGCTGTAATATTATCAAGAGTAAGAACAAGCCATCTAAAAATAGTAGAAAAAAGTTGTCACTTATGACTTGTCATAAATTGACATTAGGTATTCATTTTTACATTTCGGCCCTCATCTAAACTGCCAGTGAATGTTTCTTCAAACAATACATAATTCGAACATTGAACATTTAAAATAGTTTAATAACATGTTGTGTCTATACGCTACCATTGCCACAGCTGTCGTTGTAGCAGCTCTTTGCTGTGTAGGTAAAAGACTCATCCCTTGCCTTTAAAAACGTTTCTGAATTCATCCCATATCCATAAGAAAAATGTCTAAAGTGACGAAAAATCCGAGTAAATCTACAAGAAATTCATCCGCTAGATCAACAGGTTCAAGCGCTACTGCTAGACACATTAGACCCAAATCATCAAATGTAAAATCAACTGGGTCTAAACAGTCAATACCAGAGAAACCAAAGAAAGGTTTAGAATGGACCTTGCCAGCTTACAGTGTCTGTCCCAAATCGAAAGGAGGACTAAATTGGGAAGCCATCCAGAAGAAAATGACACGCAGAAATGCTCCAGAAGGCGAAGATATCAAACAAATCAAAGTAGTCCTTAAAGAACTTGTAAATAAGAAAATTCCAGTTCACGACTATATAACTTTGATAAGTCCCTATACGGCCGATAATGGGACAGAGCTAAGATCTGTATTTACAGAAGACATACAGACTTTCCAAAGAATGGTTAAAAAGGTTTATGATACAATGACGCAAGATGTTAGTGATGTTTTGATGAACGACCAAGTCGCCGCTGTCCAATTCTATCAAGAAAGATACGATTTGATGATGGATAAAATGATGCGAGCTATAAACGAAATCTACAGTATGGCTCCAGAATTCGACTTCGAAAAATATTATCAATTAAAAAGCGATTATTTAGAAACAATTTTTCCATTGCCCGAAAAAGTAGAACATGATACAGATACTCTTGAGATGCGCAAGAGACAAGAAGCCTACCACAGATTACAATGGCTAAGGAATGAAGGAGAAAGAATGTCTGAAGAAAATAAAAGGCTGCAGGCTAGATTAAACCTGCTTAAAAACCAACAAGAAATTGAGCAAATAGCAGCTCAAGAAGTTCAAGCAGTAGTAGAGGCACAACGTATCGAGCTAGAAAAAGCAGAAAACAAAATGAGAGACCAACTCGACCAATTAAACGAAGACGTAGAGAGATCCATAATAGAAAGCGAAGATCAAGAAGTTAGAAGCAAGAATGATACATATCTTGTTGACGCAACGACTGCAAGAGCAAAAGAAGATACTTTAGGAAAGAAAAACAAACCATCGCAAAAACAGAGAGAGGGATGGGTAAATAACACCGCTCGGGAAATGGAAACTACATTTACTAAAGAAGCTGTTGCTTCAGAAAGCACAGCTCGAGGACGGCCACCCAATTTACGAAAAATGAGGAAGAAAGATCCGGATCACAGCTACCATCCTGCTGCAACTGCGGCAGGCCCAAGCGCTCCTCGCGATACCATTATTGAAAGAAGCACTGTTACTAACCGAAAAAGGAGAACTGGACCAACACCAAGTCAATCAGGAAGACGCGGTTTAGCAACTAGAGATGCTTGGAGGTGACGTAATATTTGAAGTATTTTTGTTATAAAAACTTTGCTTTTTATTAGTAGTGATGTTCAGTATCAGATTAAAAATTTAGTTTGATAAATCGTAATTTCATTGCTACAACAATATAAGAGTTCCAAAGTTAATAATCAAGGAGTATATTACAAAATTCAACCAACACAGTCCAGTTCAGTTCATCAAGGTCAAAAAATAAGGCTGAAAAAATCAACGAAGTGTAGGTTATGTTTTGAACATATTCCGTATTAATTCTGATAATTTTAACAATATCTATCATTTAAAAAGTTCCAGATGGTCTACGGAGTATACTCCATAAGTTTATTACAAAACCAGATTTCCAAAAGTACATAAATACAACTTTGACGTTTATTGTCATATCAGGCAATCCAAATGGCTACCGGAGGGCTTTAATTGCGTCATATATAACGTTATATTTGTGACTAATCCACACTTACCAGCTTTATCATTTTGATATTTCCATTTATTCGTAACTAAGGTAATAACTGCAATCAATCAACATTCTATTTTCTGTCATTTATTACATTTGAAAAGAATTTAAGAATTTGCCTATATTATTTGCCTTTGTATTGTATGATTTAGTAAACATTGTAGAAGTAATATTAGATAAATGTTGGATAATGGTCCTCCACAAAACTGAAATTGTTTAATTTACGCCTTGACGCTTTTCAAGGGAATATTATTATAGAAAAATAATGGACAGAATGTCTGTAGAAAACAGAAAAAACGTTAATAAAGTCCAACAAGAACTTGCGAAGCAAAGATCAGCTAAAGAATTTCATTCAATTGATGAAACTCAAAGCACCGAGCTAGAAAAATCAGACAAAATGGAGGATCAATTGAAACAACCCAACGATGACGTAGATAGATCTGTCATTGAAAGCGAAGAGCAAGGATTTGGAAGCAAGAATGATGCAATTCTAGATGGTATATCTACTGCAGGAAGAACAGGCGGTACAATGGGTAATGAGAAGAGACAGCCGATACACAGATGGGTGAAAAACTATATAAAAATAGACCCAACAGACGGTACACTTGGAAAGGAAAAGAGAAAACAGATACAGGAGTGGATAAATAACAGTTTCCAGCGCTACCCAACACCATGTCAAACAGGAAGAAGCGGTTTAGCACCAAAAGATAATTAAATGTGGGGTTATATTCGATTTTTAAGTTATTAAAAACCGTGTTTTTTATTAGTAATTATGTTCAGTATCAGATCATAAATGTTGTTTGATAAATCGTAATTTTATTACCACACGTATATGAGAGTTCTAAAGTTGAATTAACAGAAGCCGTTGAAGTATCCGTAGAACAAGGAAATCACAAAAAGAGCTTCTTAAATGAAGAGGTAAATATCGGTCATATTTCTTGAAGTTTCTGTTCCAGAAGGAAATTAGGTTGATAATTTGGATACTTGCATTCAACATGATAAAGTCTCATGCAAGGTTCTGCTCAAAGCATCGGAGAGTTAATATGCAATAGAAGTAATATAGTCAAAGTTGAGTTACATTTATTTGAATCTTGAATTTTTTATGCCCCTATACATAATACATTCTACATAAAAAAAAAAGTTCTTTCTATGATCAAAACCAGGGTTAAAGCAATAGAAACAATTGTATTTTAAAGTATATATTTTTCTCTTTTCAATCTTCTGAATCTGAATCCTGACTTTTGGGCCTAGCATTCTATAAATTGGGGCCTCTTAAATTATTGAAACTACAAATGATAATGATTAATTTACTTCTAATAACAATCAGTAACATGTAGATGCCTAAAATGGGGTGAGACAATCTTGGATAGTATATGAAAATACATCATGTTTTAGGGTTCTAATAACGTAAAGTACTGCTATGCCAATAATGATTTTTTACTAAATTGTAAGACTGTAGTGAAATAATGAAGATGTTTGTTTGCAGTACTTTCTGTCCAATCAAAATTTTATTCTGATTTGGTATGTGAACACTTAGCTAGTTTCAGTTATAGTTATAGTCTTGTTTGTTTACAGTACTTTCTGTCCAATCAAAATTTTATTCTGATTTGGTATGTGAACACTTAGCTAGTTTCAGTTATAGTTATAGTCTTAATATTATTATAACAAATAAATACTGACTAGGTACTTCTTCAAAAGTATTATATTTATTTCATTATTTTTACTGCAATGACTGAAATTCGTGACTAATCCACACTTACTAGATTTATCATTTGCTACTTCCATTTATTCATGATTAAGTCAATACTGCAATCAATCAACCAACCAACATTGTCTTCAGCTATTTACATTTAGATTACAAATTAGATTACTATTTGAAAAAAATCAATTGTCAGTATTATTTGCATATGTATGAATTGGTGTACCTCACCTTTCTTTAACATTGATATACGCCAAGATTATTTGAAATTAAACATAGTAACTGTAATATCAGATCAGATAATTGTTGTATAATGGCACTCCAGATTACCTGAAATCATTTAATTTACTTCATCAAGCTTGACAATTGTCTCTGGGATATATCTTTCATGTTAACTCTCTGTTAACAATCTAGAAGGTATTATTATAATCTGCTGTTTGAATAAATGAACAAATTAAGAAAATTGCAGATTTCTCCGGGGTATTTATAACAGACATAACAATAAAAATCGCCTTTATACTTTATACTACAAGTATACAGGGTGAGAAATATCTCAAATTTTAATTATTTAATCAACCAAAGCGTACCTCGAGCTTGGCTTCCCCGTTATCGGTTCTTTCATAGAGCCTAGGATAACACAATGTGATCTATTCAATCCACGTCGGTGGTTTAGAATAATAATAATAATAATAAAGGTCGATAAATTCTTTAGAAATCTCCGAATAATTTTTTTTAATTACCCTTACGAAATATTCAATACTATTTTTGAGTTGCCATTGTTAAAATAGATTTACGAAAAATTTAAATAACTTTGTTCCGGGACAGATTCGAACCCAAATATTCGTGTACTACTCCCACTACCTTACCGATTCGGCTATCAGACTATTTGATAATATATCTAGTAAAATATAGCAGATAAATTTAACATGAACCTACTAGACATTCAGGGATAAATGAAAATTTTTAGTAAAAATAAAGAAACTTAAAGGTATTGAAACAAAATTGTTTGTATACCACTTTAATAAAGAAATAACTAGACATAAAAAAACACTTCGGGCTTAAGAGATACATACTCCATTATTACTGTTGTTGTAGACACTTATTACAATAATAATTATCGTTTCACAATACGAGTATACTTGAAAATTTGTGACACGGACAATTTGAACTGTTAATAACTCACAATTTGCGTACAAATCTGAATAATGTGAGATGAACTTGACATTCTTCGTTAATATGTATAAAATTGCTCATGAGAACGAATCATTTTATTAGAAAAGTAGGTACTTGTATGTTATTTTTGACATTTGTTTTCTTTTTTAATATACAGAACGTATTTCTTCCTCTGAAGAACTAGAGAGTGAACTTAACTCAAAATAACATAAATTTAAGATAACATTGTTCCGTAATAAATTCTTTTTTACCAATCTCAATCGTTGTTTATCTTTTAATTATTTAAGATTGAGGTGAAATGAAAATTGTCTTATATTTAAATAAAATTTGTTGAACGCTTTCGGCGATTAAGCCATCTTCAGAACTTTAAAAGGGGTGTTAGCAGTTCCAGCATACACAATAGAAGAAATGGGCAACATCGCATATTTGATTATTTCTGTTAAAATGTTTTGAAGATTGAAATTCTGGGATTCAGAAAGTCAGGTATTCTACCAACATAAGAGATTAAAATATACAATAGGAAATATTTACAGATATGTTTTAAATTTTGTCGTGAAACCACCTAAAGCCGACCCTGGGCCTCACTCCGTTGTTTTGATACCGCAGGACAGAGACAAACGTACTCCTTCGAGAAGTTACCAGACAAATCGTTGCGCGCCGGCTGACTCATAGAGGAAGAATTTCCAGATATTCTAGACCGCCGAGAATGCATTCGTGCAGAGCTGGCTTTATATAAATAGCGCTACTTTGTCACTAGACGTTAAGTTTCAATATGTGTTGTATAGTAAAGATAAATTGTAATAAATAAATTAGAATTATAATAGTGTCTGAGTATTAAATAAATTAATTAGTACGTTATAAATAAATTATAAATAAAATGTTATTAATAAATAAACAAACCATTTTTAAATTAAACAATCATTGTTACAATATTTAATGATGTGTGGGTTACTGTTCTGCGTGACTATAGCTATCTCTTGAAGAATATTTGTTAAATTATTCACATTGAAGTTGGAACTGTAAATAAATAGAGGGTGCATTGCGTCGAGAATTAGAGGATAGTAATAAATACATGATGGTGGTTTTGGATTATTTCACGAACTGGTGTATTCAATATAAAAATTTACAAATTTCAAATTAGCTTTTAGACGTATTTCTTAATTTTAACCAGTATATAATTATGACTGCTTACAGCTTCCAAATGATATAATTATAACTAGGCATTTATATTGTCACTACAAATGAGTGAACATCCTTGAATATATATTCGATTATTTACAAAACAAAAGCAAATAGCTGGAAAATTAGACTAATATTTAAATATCCATTTAATTATCTTTATTAAAAATCAAACGACTGTTTTTAGTAGGTATGTCAACTTAATAAAATTGTTTAATTACAAACAGGAAGCTTCGAGTGTGACAAAAACAGATGAAGGCGTTAAAATATAGCCGAGATAAAATATGTCATTAGTCGTTACCTGTTGAACGTTTTGTGATGATTTAGATACAGTTTTACGTGCTCTAGGCTGTTCTAGGCCTACAAGAAACTCATTAATTTAATTAGAAAGCCTAAGGCGACTATTTGTAACTAAATGCCAAAACAAATCGATGTGATAAGATCATTTTATTAATATGATTAGGTGTCAGTAAGTATTAATTTTAATTATGTCAAAATAAGGAAATTATATTATGTATTCTTATTTTTTTAATGAAGTGGAACTAAGTTGCTTATTTTTATTCAAAGTTATTAATGGTGGTCTAATTCTAATCACTTCTTCTCTTACGCTATTTCAAACATTGTGAATTATTGGATTCTATAAAATTTTGTTTCTTCGGTGTTGATTGAATTGATCTATACCTACTGGTTATTATATAAAGATAGTATCTGTTATTTTATTTATCTAATATATTTATTTAAAAATACATATTTTCATAGTTATTAAGAAACTTGCTAGTTGTGGTTTACAATTAAGTCAATAAAGCTAAAGAAAAGTCTTATGATTTACAGATTTTAAATTCTAATTACTTCCATTTTCTCTACATGTTAGTCCAACAAATAAATCTTTATTCTTTTAGGTTGCCAAAAGTCTAAAAGGCCTTGATAAATATTTTAGACTCATTAAAATAAACATCGTATGAGCGAATAAAAATAAAAAAACTAGAATAATAGCAAACATAATAATACAATTATTTATATAAAAATAGTAGTAGCAACAATTTTTATCATAAAGTACACTTGTGCCTTATTTAGAAATTTATCTGATTCTTCTTTATTAATATATTTAAATCCCATATTTTGTTTCTTAAGATATGCTATTAGTTTAAAAAACTTACTTACCTGATTATTTTTGTATAATGCTCTTTAACAAAATATCTTAACCACAATGTATCTAGCTTACATATCTTGTTTCATACTTTAACGCCCTTTTTAGGTAGTAAACAGTTCTAACATGACTCTTCTCATATTTTTGCATTTTATGGTTTCTTTTAGGTTTTAATCGGAACTATCTACATTTTAAAACAATGTAAAACCCATTTTAATTCCAAAAATAATCTTTTTTATTCTTAAAACACACCAAATTTATCTGGCCGATTTAGGGAACCTAACCTATCTAGCAGTAAACTTTATGAAATATCAAGACAATTTTATTAAATGTTCTAAGGACTATCTAAGTTTATGAATTTGCTCTTCGTTGCTGTAACTAAAAAAATAATCATTAACTTTCTCACTTCAAAGCCGTATCGTCTGATTATAGCTGACGAAATTTTAAATGCTCTCAATCATAGCAAGATTTAAAATAATTTCGTATAATATCAGTGTATGCATATTATTCGGTATGTTAATTATAGTATATAATTATTAATTCACAGAATATTAGAGGTTAAATGGTGTAGGAAAAGAAAGTATTATATAAGCTTTAAAAATCAGTTTTTTTATTAAAATAACTTCAAGCGAATTATGTCCAAAATTTTATAATATTTTAATCTTCTTAAATTAAAATTAACGAATTTGCGTAATTTTTGACTGGAATAATAAAGAAATAATTTTTTTTTCTATTTAAAAAAAGTATTTGATATATAAAGAAGATGTTTTATTTAAAGAAGAAAAATTGTTACTAATAAAAAAGAAAGAATTATCATTGAAAGAAAAATTCTTGCTATCTAAAGAAAAATAATTAATATTTTATGTCACTATAAGTTATTTATTCCATGGCCAAGCCTAAAGAAAACAATTATGGCTTACACGTTATACCTTTGTTTAGTTACACTTGCATTTTTTCCAACCAAACTCCCAGAACGTCCTCATTATCATCAAGTGTGATTTAAAAATCTAATCTATATGAAAATGAATGTCGTCATTATTTCATACAAAAACTAAGTAACTATCATCATTCTTTTATAAATAATTCAGTACATCTTGACAAGTATGATATATATCGTGTAATTGTTTTATTTTTCGTACTCATATGAATTCAGATCGTAATCACATCAAAATTTGGTGAACTGAAGCATACATCGTTGGTCAACAATTGCACCAAAATGTATGAAAACAATAGAATCAAATCTTGATTTCACTATTACCAAATTGTATGTCCAAATTAGCATACTTACTAGATAAATATATAAACGAATTTTATCACACTTTCATACATGTGTTACCAAACTAATTTGTTACAAAATAATTAGTATTTTAGATCTTTATCGATGATTGCAATCAATACAGCAAATATGAACGATTACTGAAATAACAACCGTTATTTACAAAACCCATGTAAAAAAACATAAAAGAGCAAAATAAAAAAAAATAAAAAATTTTACTAATTGATTTGACCTAGCAACAGATCCACGAAAAAATCTCCAAAAACAACCCAAATCGACAAAAAATACATACCTACCCCTTTGTTAAATCTCAAAAATTAAGAGGACACAAAATTTAACAGTTTTTGGTTACATAATTTATTATTTAGTTACAGGGTATCCCGTTAATATACTGAAAAGAATTCGTTTCCCGTAAGAAATTGCCCGTTGGAAAGCTTATGGAAATTTTAGATGTAAGTGCATTAACATCAACAAACTGTAAAAATTTCAATGAAATAAACTGATTGTAATTCGATTTTTTTAACTTCAACACTGCATCTCATAAACAGAATGTTTTTAGACGTATTATATTTATATAATGTTTAATAGTTAACAATTTTGATGTCCTCTACAAATCCTACATGTTTGTTGATACACCTTGTATTAAATTACAGATCTAATATAACTCTCCTGTTCTGCAGTTTTGCGTACCTTTTCAACCTGCTTTTGCAGATTTTCGCAAATTCTTTACAACAAAATGTTTGCAATGCAACACCATATATAATTCAAAAATGATTTTTACCTAGTACTAAAGCCACAAAATTGCCTTACTAACTCGTTTTTACAGAATTCATATACCATTTTCAAAATATATGGCCTGTTTTTTCATAGTTTTTACTTTATTTAGGAAAAATTAATAAGCTCATATCCTTTCTTTAATTTCAGAAATCAAATCTTGGATAATTTATGGCTAACAATAATAGTAAACAATATTCAAGGTAACAGGTATTCACTTACATCCTCTTTTTATAATTTTTGTAATTAAACAAACAAAATAACCTGTGTTTAATTGTAATATATCATTGGTATGTTTCCCATCAAACAAAAAATCTATTAATCTGTTAATCCGTTAATCATTTTTATGCATATTAGTGTGTAACCTTGTACATTATTTTTAAACCAGAACTTGTTTGGTAACTAATTTATAAAAAAAATATAACAAAAAAGTCACTGATATTGTACACTTAAAAAACAGTTTAAATAATATTTAAGACACAATTAAAGTAAAGATAGGTAAAGAACTGTATTTTAGTGGAATTATATTTTCTTAAACTATGAATTTTCTTCGCCCAAACGTTAATGATTATTTGACAGGCAAGTCCACATAGACCAAAATTATCTAATAATGATATTTCTTTAACAATGATTTGACAAAACTTCAAAAATTTTAAATATCACTGTGCTTTTCCGTGTTTTATTCTTTCTACAAAAAAATTACACTTTAGATGATTAGTATTAAAAGAACAGTCTAATTAATTATCCATAGTAAAGCCTAACAATTCTAAACTTTTAAGCTCTGGTAATGGTACACGCAGCAACACTCTAGAATTGTTTCAACAACGATTAGAAACAAATCACAAATTATTATTGCCCTGTACACAATTTGACAGTTCAATAATCTACTGCGTAGAATTCTGATGTTAGCGACTCCTTTTTTGTTGCTGAAATATGTTCTGTCATATATTTTATTTAGTTTAAGCCTATTTTTTTTCCAGTTCATTGTTTAGAATAGCATATTACTTGTACATTAAGGTAGTAATATCATTGAATAAAAAAAAGCATTTTGATGTATTTCAAAATTGAAAGAAAAGACAATTTCTCTTTAGTTTCTTATTAATGAATCCTAGAATAATGTCCCTGTATTATAAAAGAAAAAAATATAATCATTTTGATAATAATTTAATATAATTTTATGTTGGAGGAAACTTATACATTTGGTGTTGCCACTGGTTTTGCTTATATTACAATACAAAGAATCCAGTATAAACGGCAAAATAGAGGATAGATGGGAATTAGTATATTATTGAAATAAATTAAAAAATTAGATACATCCATCCTTGAAAAGTAACTAACTTTTTTAAAATTCTTTAAACATTTTTTTAACAAAACTCTACCATATTTTTTCAATCCTATATTTAAAAAGAAATTTTAGTTCCTATGTTTATATTTGACAGCCTAGGGCAAAGAAAAATATATTACTCCCATGTTTGAGGTTTAATTATATTTAAATTTCTACCAATACAGGAATTGCATAATTTGATACAATAAACAGAAACAAATATCATTTATCTACGCACAATTCGATATCTCGAGAAACTATTTTAAACTTTTATTTATTTAAACAATAAATAAAATCGTACTACTTAATAATCCTAATTGATTTTTATCATGCAATTGTTTCAACAAATCTTTTATTATTGTTATTAATATTATTATTATTATTGCTGCTTATTTTACCAGATAAATGTAATTTTCTGCGTGTAATTACATAAAGTTTCTATTGTTTCAGGTATCGCTCCTCTGTCTGGCAACCTTGCCCGTTGCCCACACCATCATGGTATCATTCGGCACGAATCAAGGTCCCATCGTTCCAAGACAACCAAAGTCAACGTCCGCTCAAGAGAGAACCATCGTGGCTAGAAGCCCGGCGCCGGTATCAGAATATAGAGACGACGTACCTAATCCCAATGTGTACAAACCACCGTACCCACATCAGTATAGAACCAAACTGTACGCTTATAAACCCTCCGCGAATTTGATTCTTGGGACACCACTAGACCAGAAATTCACTCCCAATTCAATTCCTAAGTATCATTATTACAAAAAACAGCTACAAAGATTGAACTTGGGAGCGGATTACACAGGTCCTAATATTTTCGAAAGACAGGAATACGAATTTTTACCCAAAACTGTTCTTATCCCTTCTGTTAAGTACAACAAACCAATCTACGCACCTGCAGAGAGTCAAAATAGTAAGTACGTACCCGAAATTGGGGTAGCATATTCTTCCGGGATTAGGTACTACGTTCCTCAAATTATAGTTGTTAACCCTCATCAGAATGATGTTAATCCAAGAGATGAAAATTCTGTGTACGATGTAGAAGATCAAAAGTATTATCAGTAATTTAAAAAAAAAAGCTGTTGATAACTGTGCCAATTTATACTTTTTTGTTAACTTGAAGTAAATGTGTGAAAATATCAAAATTTAAAAGTAGTAACTGCTAAAAACTAGTCTTATACTGCTTTAAACATCTAACTTAAAGCGACGGCTCTATCAAAACAATAAACAGTGTTTTATTAGGTTGAATGTGTTTTATACTTTTGAGACAATGTCTTTTCCTCGAAGCAACTATGTTGCAGCATATATTTTCAAGTAAGTAGAACATGATAATTGATAATTTAGATAAAAACACAAAATTGCTCTAAATGTAATAGAAATATTATGTTTCAAAGGTATCGATGCTGTATGTATAATATTTATAACCCCAAACACCACCAGTACCTACTATTGCGACTTTAATAAGAAGGCAAAACTGATGAAACATTTGATGAGGTTACATGAAGTTGCAACGTTTTCTGTCAGCATTGCTAGATTAAATAAAAATACGCAGCAATAGTCAATATTTATGTTGCAATAAGTAGCCGTATGGAGTTGGCCACTTAAAATTTCCATCCCCTCATATCTTCATTATTAATTGCGATATAGGATTTAATTTTCGTTTGGTTGAAATTTTTGAGAAATAATTTTATTATAACTGATTCAGTTCAGCATTCCAACGACCTGTCAAAATGCTACCCGTGGACAGTAAGCTCGTGGGCTTGAAAATGATAATGAAGCAGTCTCTATGTATTGTTTATTTTGGCGACTCTCTAGGTTTGATATCTCAATTTGGGATAATCCAAGTTCAATTAGAAATTTCCGTTTCGGTTCGTGTTTCAGTAAATCTAAAAAAACAGAAAAAAAAGTTCTTAAATATTTTTTTAAAATTCAAGTATTTAAAATGAGTTCAATTAAATTTTCTCACTCTGTATAAATTTTTTGTAATCAATTCTTATGTTATTTGCTTTCTATGAGACATATTTAAATCTAATAGCTCTGTACTGTTAGTACTTGCTTAAAATGAGTAAAGTGGTATTCATAAATTGCTTTTATCTGTGATATCATACGAATGGTAATTTTTTTAAATTTTTATATTCAAATTTAAACTCAAATTATGTTATTTTCACTATTTTTGGCGCTTATTTGATATTTTCACGTGTTTACTCAAAATTGGTGTTCAAAATGTTTAAAAAATTAATTCTTTTAAATCAGAACACAGCCATAGTATTATTTGTTTTTGTCAAAACCTTTACATATTAAATTAAATAGATCCGTTTTTAGTACAGAAATGTAAACAAATTGTGATGAGATATATTTGTATATAAGTTTAAATTGTTATTAGTAATATTCAGTATTGTATGAAAACGTTAGTAATGTTATAAGTGAAATGCGTTTTTATTTTTTATTGAGGTAAAATCTCTGTTTCGTTGTTAATTTAATTAATGTAAAAATGTATAATAATTATTGTTTAGAGAAAACAACTATAAAATTGTTTCACGCCGTTAAAATATATGATTAATTTATTTTCTGTTTCTAATTTATACTAAATTTAAAATTCCTAATATTTTTACTCAATTAGATGATTTATTACATTATAATTACAGTTTTTTTCTATAAATTTATCAATATATCTTTTTTGTTAATAATTAACACAACTGCAATTATAAGTAATAACGACTTGATTTTTTTAAATATTTTTTAGATTAAGTAAGAGGTCAGTAAGTTTGTTATTTTGTGCTATATTTTTTAATAAAATGTATTACTGTTTGGCAATATTCGGAATTTATATTTACAAAATTATATTTCTGTTTTTGTATTTTTATATTGCTAGACAGTAAAAGTGAGCACTGCTAATGTTTTTGAAAACAAATTGCATACGATGAAACTAATCTTCAAAACTATTTTTTCACTTTGAGCAAGCTACCTCCGCTACCAATAGCTTCTTCAAACGATGAAAGACTATTTTTGATGTGTCAGAATAAGAAAAATTTATTGAGTTATAAATCAGGCGAATGTAAGCAATGAATCATTAATTGGATGTTGCTACTGCTCAAAAAGCTCATCTTGCTATATGAGTCATTTTACTTCTAATATTTCTATGTATTTGTTCAACATTTTTTGCCATTTGTCCAGTATTTTTTCTTTCTGTTAGGTTTCGCATTGTGCTAGGCTTAATGACTTAATTTTTTCCTCAATTAGAAGTAAATTAAGTGGAAATATGTGGAAATGGTGCAATATATACCAACTATCTTACTTTAATTTGATTCCAACATATTTCATTTTTTATATTACACTGGCACTACATACAAAAGTATGAAATTAATTAATTCTTAAATGAACTAAATTAAGACATTGTTTTGTCCTCTTTTGCTATGGATTGTTTTGTATTCGCGAACTTTAGTAGTGCTCCGGAAGTTTGTCAAAAATATGGTTACCTAGTTATTAGTCCAACATTTATTAAATAGCTTAGTAACAAAAATTATGTTGTTTTGTAAAATTCAAACCTAAATTTAGACTGTGAGTTTTCCTGTAATTTTTAATTTTCTTGCAGAAAAATAAATTTAAAAATTTCATACAGAATAATTAAATTTATTTTTAAATTGTACATATAACTTTTAAATGCAAAAACATTTTGTTTTGATTATAAACATTTGTAATTGTACAAGTCATGATATTAATTTATTAGCTTTTTAGATTATTCTATTTATATTTTGTGATACACAGAGATCCTTACAACTCAAAAGGGTTTTATTCTTATGAATTTTATTTTTAGATGTGGGTTATCAAAAAACTGAATGGTTTCGACATTAACATTGTTGTGGAATTGTTCGCCACTCTTAAGAACATTCTAAATAGTCTGATTAACGATGTTAATCTTCAGATTTTTAAGATTACGATTTCTAAAATATTAAAGGACAAAATATGTTCCTAAGTACTTTATTCTGGAAAGATTGTATTAGTGCAATGTTACTGGTGCATTCCTATATTTTTATACCATATACCCAAGTAATTTATTGTAATTTGAAAAATCTTATGATCAACAAATATATTTTGTTGTGTTTTATTCCTAGCACTCCTTTTTTTACGTACGTTTTCCAGCGCGTCTTTGCCTCCAAAGTGATACCCACATAATTTGCTGTATCATGGTAAGGATATAGGATTAATTATGCTAACTGGAAAATCTATATGTACAAGTTCTTAGTTATAGAACTACTTTGATTTTATTTTGTTGCAAGTAAATTTCTTTTTTCTTTATTATAGAGCTCTTTATCTAAAGTATAATGCAATAATTGTGTATACAGTCTGGAAAATTTAAAAATTGAATTTAAAATTTTATTCGTTTTAAAAAAATGACAATGTCAGATCTGTAAGTATATTTTCATAATCATTAATTAATACTGAATTCATAAATAGCAAAATATGTAGAGTCAATTACGTCATAAAGAAAGCAAGATATATTGAAAGTAAAACTCGACATGACAAGGGCTATTTTTAAAAAATTTTAGAATGATTATTTCTCTCTCCTAATAATAGTTTTCAAATTAACACTTTTTGTACTATTTTCTATCCATAGCCAATATTACAACTAAGCCAAGCATATTGCTAACAATTTCTGTAATTTATATATTTTTTGGTTTGCCTCTTGCTTGCCTATTTTTCTTCTCATTTCCATAATTTCCTTTAGTTATTGTCCATATATCTTGAGTAGTTTAGAACCTACCATTTTGTTAAACACTTTTTTTTTCCACAGTTTTTCATAATGAACCTTTTCTATTTTTTTGTCCTTGTATATTTATCATTTTTATATATTATCATGTTTGCTATTATTACAACATCTGCATACAAATGTCATAGGAAATTATTTTCTAGAAACTAAGCATGTAACTAGAAACTTTTGTCTTGGTTTATCATATTTAGATTCTTAACAATCATAGTAAAGGTTATAGTTGAATCCGGAAAGAAGAAGCAGTAACAGAATGTGTACAAAACTTGAACATTTGATTAGTATAGTTTAAACTTTAAATAAAAAGAATTCTTCATTCAAATTGTAGTCAATCCAAATCTTTTTCCAATTGGCACTAATTTCTTTCTTAAAGTAGTTGATAATGTCGAGAATCATGTAAATATTGTTGGGAATATTCTTCTAATTTTCAGTGTTTTCTGCAGTAGAATCTACCAACTCCCACGTGGACTTTATCCCAACAGCAAACTACATCTTTTGTTGTTTTTAAAGTTATTGAATGTTTACTAGTTTTATACTAAGTGGTTGGAATGTAGCCTGAAATACAGACAATGAATCTATTAAAATTAAAGAATTACCAGCGTTATTATTTTGAATATTAAAATCATTATATTTGTTAATTAATTTTAATCTTTATTAAATAAACTTCTTATAAAAGGATATTACAATCTAAATGCACTTTGTTCATAATAATAGAATTATGAACTGAAAATAATCAAATCTGAGTTTTTCAACCGCAAACTTCTCATTAAAATCATTTTAATTTCAAATTAATTGTCATGTCTTGTACAAACAACAGAAACACTCCCTATAATTTCCCTCTACAATTACGTGTCATATTTTTTTATGATACCAAATATGTACATATATTTGTAATAAAGTAATTTTTTTATAAAATTATCTCTGCGTTTTAGTTTAATTATATCTACGTTTTTTAAGGATGAATATAAAAATGATGCAAGAAACGTGTGCAAGCACAATGCTACATGGATATATTTACGGGATATCATTGAGCTACTATATAAAATTAGTGTGAAATTAAAAGATTTCGCAACGTTAAGTAAGTATGTATCGGGGACATAGAAGGGAGTGAAGATGTCAGGAAAGCTTATAATATTATACTAGAAGATACAACTGAAAATTTCGGTCGCCATCTGCCCGAAGGCATGTAAAAATATTGTACTGAGCAAAGAGGGCAAAATAATTATTTCATATACAAAAAATCACATAACACATGACAGCAATAATTTTGTTTGCTTGAAAATTATATTTCACAATTCATAAGCCTGAATTATTATTTTTATTATTTTTACCTAACTTTTAAACCATGTGTATCTGTGAAAATACGAATGA